TTTTTTAAAAAGGCAATTTCTAATTTTAGCTTTTCAAAACTTTAAAGAGAGGTGTTTAACTACAGGGAACAACTACTTTATTTTAGAAATTATTACTGCTCACATCAATAGAAATATTTTTAATACTATGTTAAGAAAGAAGTGTGCTTAAAAACCTCAAACACACCAAGAACTTCAAAGTAAACAAATTTCATACTGAAAGTCTTATCTGACATTAAATTTAAAATGTCAGACTCGCACATGAGACTACCAATATCAAGAGACCAACACTACTTTACATTCTTTGAGCAAGCCTAGTGTTGATTTAAAATTTAGAGGTAGGAATAGGATTGTCTTTGTCCTATATAAACAGCAGCCTAGTTCCTACCATCCTAGTGTAGGAAAATCTGGGAAGTAAATAAAAGTGAACAAATATTTTTGCTTCCAAATATTTACAGGCAGTTCAATACAGATAAAGCTATTTTATACCATAGTACCACCGCAGACTACTTATCTTCAGTAATTGACAGTAGAATTCTTACATAAACTTATGGAGAAAGAGAGAGAGAGAGATTCTGCAACTTTCCTGATTGTGTTTTATATGAGAACTGTGGAACACGTTTACCTTGGTATTTATTATGAAGGCAATATCTGCATACCATAAAAATTGACTGCTGTATCCCCCTATATTACTACTCTATAGATAAAGCAACTGAATAGGCACAACAGGAAGACAGAGGCAAAGATGTCATGAGCTTGAGTCTTGAATACTAGAAGAAATAAAGTGGCAAGAGTACACTCATTTTGCTGGCTTACTGGAATCCACTACTCCCAACACTACATTCCACCCCTCTGAAAGATACAGAAAACAGTTTGTTTGTTTGTTTTAAAGGGAAAGAAACAGAAGCATTGCTAAGCGAGTAATTTAAAATGATCACTAATCAGATTCAGTGAGCCAACAGTCATTTTACTTTGTCAGGTGTTTATACAGCTTAAAAGGGCGAAAAAACCATCAGCAGCTTGATCTGATGCCAAGTTCTTTCGTAAGTTCAGTAACAAACTGTACTGCACATGCACAGTAACCAAGCCACAAATTTTCCATAATGAATCAGATACACTGTGAGAACAAACAAGACACATGGCAGCTACCTGGGTTACTATTTACCTATGTGAACATGCACATATAATTTATCTACAGTGTACAGTCACAAAAATGATTGTGACAATCTTATTCTAGCTTATCAATCTACGACAGCATTCAATACAGGCTTGCTAAATAAATAGTCCTAAACACTGCTATTTAGAAGTGACCACAGTTGGACAAAGAGGAGAAAGCAACAAAGCACAACCAGCGTTTGTCTGCAAGTAGGTGAAAAATCTGTTTTACGCTGTTGGACACTAATGAAAACGCTTGCAGTATGTAGGTTCTGATGATGCATCACATAGCAACGTAAAAGACTAAGTAGTAAACTCAGCGATTCCACAATATTTTAGATGAATGTTTTAACATGAGCTCTTGGCAGTTTAACACAGAATTTAGTATGTATGCATAACCCTCAGAGTAACACTTTATATCAAATAATCCAGCTGGGGTCAATACAGACACTACTTAGTAGCAAAAATGAACAGTCACATATATGCAGGAGTGACATAGTATACTAAGTTGTGGCTAAATATGTACACATAAATTCACAAAAAAAAGCTAAATATTCCCCATAAAGAGTAGGTCTAAATAACGTATGCTGACAAGAAAAGTTGAAAAAAATCCTCCTGAAATAAGCTACTATGAATAAATAATAATGACATCTCGTTGGCAGTTTTATACAAAAATGCACAAAAATTCCACTTACCTCACTAGGGAAAAATAAGAAATAAATCATTCAGCAAGTAGGACACCAGATCAAGCCAGATGTTTACGGGACTAACACTGCGTCACACAAATGCTGGCTCAGATCCAAACAGACAATTAGGACAGAGTAGTCCTACTAATAAGACGTTCTTCCTAATAAGACATTCTTGCAAACTTCAAAGCAATTCATAGGAATTTATTATCCAGTAAATTTACAGTTAACATTGCAGACCTTAAATTACTAAAAAAAAATCTCTAAAACATGCAGTATTATGCTTAGCATTTAGTACTTGAAAAAACCCACAAAACTACATCCCATAAAGGAAATTATTTATATTTAAACAATTATATAACTAAAAATAGTTAAATCACCACAGCTACCAAGACAGGAAGATGACCAAGGTATAATGACCAAGTCTGATACTGTCCTTAAACTACCACATTTTCAAGAGCAGCATCCCAATATACACACCTTGCAGCGTTCTACAACATACAGCATCCTGGCTGATTAAGCACTGACAT